TACAGCATAACACATGGCACATAGTAGGCATGCAGTAAATCCTTATTGAATCAAAGATCCCCCTCTCCTGGAGATTCTCATGTACATACATCAACCAAGTCCCATACAGAGACAATAACAGRGAGAGGAGGGTTTGAGTGTGCTAATTGGCCACAAAATCCCCTGCAGAGAAATAGACCCTGACTACCTATAGCTTTCTTTTCCACAGACAGCTGCCTCAATCTCCCAGCCTCAGAAAAAAGCTTCTCTAATATAACACAGATCATAAAAGCATAGTCAGGGATAAACATGTCAAGTTTTATATCAGATATGCTATTTTTTCAAGGAGAGATGATTATTTTCATTAAGTAAAGACCCTATCTTAGCACTAGACTCTTCCTCCTTTAAAGATTTCAGAGCCAGAGCTGGGCATGGTGGCATATACTTATAATCCCAGTAGCTTGGGAGGCTGAGGCAGGAAGATCAAGAGTTTAAGACCAGCTTCAGCAATTTAGCTTAAGCAGCTTAGTGAGATGGTGTCTCAAAATAAAATGTAAGGGGGAGGGGATATAGCTCAGTTGGTAGAGTGCTTGCCTTCTATGCACAAGGCCCTGGGTTCAATCCCAGCACCACACACACACACAAAAAAAAAAAAAAAAAAAGGTAAGATGCTGGGGTTGTGGCTCAGTGGTAGAGCACTTGCCTAGCATGTGTGACGTGCTGGGTTTGATCCTCAGCACCACATAAAAATAAAATAATAAAATAAAGGTATTGTGTCCAGCTACAACTAAAAAAAAATTATGGAAAAAAAAAAAAGAGGGAGAGAGAGAGAAAAGGGCTGGGGCTGGATGCAGCATAATCCCAGCAGCTCAGGAGGCTGAAGCAGGAGGATCACAAGTTCAAAACCAGCCTCAGCAAAAGCAAGGTGCTAAGCAACTCAGACCCCCATCTCTAAATAAAATACAAAATAGTGCTGGAGATGTGGCTCAGTGGTTGCATTACCTGAGTTCAATCCCCAGTACCCCCCCCCAAGAAAAAACAGCTGAGGATGTGACCCATTGGTGAAGCACCCCCCTGGGTTTAATTCCTAGCCACCCCCCCAAAAAAAATTCTGGAAGCTTGTCTTAATCTTGGGCTATCATAACAAAATATTAGACCAGGTGGCTTAATTAGCAGGTATTTATTTTCTCATAGTTTTGGGGCTAGAAGTCCAAGGTCAAGGTTCTAGATGATTCAGTTTCTATGAGGGCTCTAGATAGCAGCTTTTTGACAGTGGCTTGCAGACAGCTGGCTTCTCACATATGTCCTCACACATGGCTTTTTGTGTGTGTGTATGTGTGTGTGTGTGTATGTGTGTGTGTGTGTATGTGTGTGTGTGTGTGTGGAGAGAGAGAGACAGACAGACAGACAGACACACTGACTGTTCTGGTATCTCTTCTCATCAAGGGCACTAATCCTAGGATTAAGGCCTCACCTTTATGAATTCAGTTAACCTGAATTAATTCCTTAGAGGTCTTCAAAATTTGAATATAGGAAGGGGGGAGTGCACAAACATTCAGTCCATTACAAAACCTCCCTTCTCTTTCTCTAATCCAGAAAGAACTGGGGGTCTTCTTATACTTTGTGTGGGTGTGCTAGCCTCCCATGGATTCCTATCAGAAACCAATACATGTATTTCCTTAACTGGATGGTCAGATAGCTCCTAGTGGGAGATCAGACATCCTGTGTGGAAGAAGAAAGGCCAATAAAATGAGAGAGAAATAAGTGTTAGAAAGCTAGAAGGACTTTATATTATGACTCAAAGAAGGGAAAGAGCAAGAGTAAACAGTAGCTTAAGGCCCACATAGTTGGACCCATCCATCAGAGCAGTTTTTGTTTTTGTTTGTGGTGCTGGGGATTGAATCCAGGGCCTTGTGCATGAGAGGCAACTGAACTATATCCCCAGCGCCCCCATCAGAGCAGTTTTATTTCCCATATACTCCTGCTTCATTTTACCACTCTGGCTGTGGTACCCAACCCAAGATAGTGAATTAAAGCTCTGCCTCAGGTTCCTCATCTATAATATCATCTCAGAGGACAGTTGCAAGGATTAACCAGAATGCAGGTAAAGTGCTAAAACAAGGCCTGACATGTATTAATTCCTCAGTAAACATTAGCTATATATTGTTACACTTCCCAGTTTTCTGCTCTCAGCAGGCTACATATCTTAATCCCAGATTTCAAGCCCTTGCACATGATGTTCCTTGTGCCTGGAATGCTCTTTCCAGCCTTGTCCACCTACACAAGCATCAATACTCTATTCAGGCCTTCCTTTCATCACAAGGCCTTCTCTGTACCACTGTTACATTTACTGCTGGTCCAACTAATCCCAATTAAGTAACAATGTTGCTTTAGTAGTTAAACATTTTATGTCTTTTTTGTCTCCTTTTCTAGGAAAGAAGTTGTTTGTTAATCTTTTTGTTTTGGGGTGCCTAACACAGTGCTACACTCTTGATGTTCTGAAAACACTGCTTGAAAAAAAGGAATGAATTTAAAAGGAAGACCTGAACCTTTAAACAGTGGTTCTAATTTTGATTTCCTAGCAGGCAGAGGTCTTGCCAGGGTTATCGCAAAATGCTCAGTAAATTTTCAAAACAAGGTTGTTTTTAATTATACCTTAGTTCTAAGACAAACCCAAATCTGTCACACAGCACCTTCTGAAAAAAGAAGTGTCATAAAATCAAACAAGTGTAGGTATAACTCAACCCTGAAAAGTTTGCACTGATAATGCTTTTTAGTGGAGTGGTAAGGAGAAAAACAGCAAAAAGCAGCAAAGGCAGTGAGAAATGGATGTAAAGAATGGAAAACATTTGCTGACTGTCTATTTCATATCGAGTACAACCTTATCAACAATCCTGTTAGGGAGGTAGCATTATCCTCAGTACTATCTGACTCCCCAGTCAGGGTCTTACCCTACTTTTTTGATGAAAAGAGGTGTTGCAACTGGAAGATGTTGGGTGGCTGAGTATGCCCACCTGCTTCCTGGAGATGGAGCACTTAACTTGCTTAAGAATAGGTCATGATTTTTTTTTTTTTTTTTGAGAGAGAGAGAGAGAGCAAGTGAAGTGTTCTTAACTCTAAAGAACACCCTGTATAACTTTTTAGAACTATAGGAATAATCATCATTACGGTTTTATGGTGTTATTTTCAGCAAGCCTTTTGGATACATGCATTAACTGAGAAGGGTAGTAAAAACAAAGAGCCCACCAACGCAGAAAGATGAATTAGTTTATCAGATTAATCATCACATGGGTGACATAAAAGAATGACACCAAATCTGATAGAATGAACAAGGCCAGGTTTAGAAAGAAAATAAGAAAGGTCCACAGTTTTGGAGTATGTTTCTGAGATCAGGAAAAGGGTGGGTGGCAACAGGTACCTGGTGTGGACTGAGAGAATTGGTGAGTGGAAGGACACTAAAGATAAACATTTCACTGCCAAATGTTACCTTCCTAAAGCACTACATGGAACTCCATTTGCTTTTACTTCTTGACTATTAAACTCAAGGATTACAAGGGTGAGGGACATGAGGGGGCAATTTCAATGTGTAAGGGAGTCTGGACTACTCTGGGTATATGACTGCTACCCCTCCAGCTTCCATGAGCCACAGAGCTTAAACTATGCACCAGGGAAGCAAAAGTGCCACTCTTTGGAAGGGCTTTTCTAAATGGAAATAAGATGGCTTCTGAAAAGCTCCTGACACATGTGGCTCACCCCTGGCAGCTTAACAAGCCCTGAGATACATTTGTCCAGTATACACATCCATATAATATAGTTCTTTTCCTTGGGTGTAGAAGAGAACCATTTGCAGGCATAAGCCTAGATTCTCCTAATGGTCACCAGAGGGCGGTACAAAGCAGGACCCTTGGGGCTCAGAGGCTCTGAGGCTCAGATTCTCAAAACCAATCTATTTAGCAGCACAGCTACTATAGGCAGGCTCCACCCCCACCCCTAAGTATCAACCACTCCTGACTACCCCTCAGATGCTGCCTTTCCAGAGCAGTCCAACCTCTTCTGAGCTTTCCTTCCTACCTCAGGGGAGCCTGCCTCCTTTGATTCCAGGTGTTTACTGTGTTGGAACTCCCCAAAATACCTGGGACAGAGAGTCAGAGCCCAGGAATAATGGAAGAGGAAGAAGAATGATGGAAGAAGCTAATAGAAACAACAACCAGGGCTGGTGATGAAAAATGAGATAAGGTTGTAATAGGCACATGCTCTTGCCTGGGGAGGCTGTCCACTCACGCCCACACTCACAGGCCAATTTTGTTCTCTGCAGCCCTGCAGTAAGGAAAGATTTCACTTCTTCCTCTAGCTTCTTTCTTTTGCCTATAATTGTGTGTGGACTGTAAGTTTTTAGCCCACAGGTTATCAGATGGTCCAGAGACATCCCCAAAAAGAAAAAGAATAAGAGGAAGAAAGAAAGAAAGAAATGAAGAAAGAAAGAAAGAAAGAAAGAAAGAAAGAAAGAAAGAAAGAAAGGAAGGAAGGAAGGAAGGAAGGAAGAAAAGCTCCCTTCAGAGAGTGCCACCACAGTAAGATGGGGACAAGGCTGATTCATGACCTTGCGGGAGGTGCCAGGACTGCTAAAGATAGGGGACTGAGATACTTAAAGAGTACCATATGGACAGGGGAGCCCCTCTAAACAGAAAAGGGAGGTGCATGGGCTTTCCAACTCCCAGGACAGACAGGGTTCTCTACAGAAGTCGGTATTCAACCTCAGGGGAAGAATGCCGGTCTTCTCCTTTCACATTGAAGTTTTCCCCAGCAGCCTAAAATACTTGCATGACTTTTCTGGTCTTTTCTGCTGATGCATTGGGACACAGCTCTGAAAAGAGGAATAGGGTCCCAAAGATGCTGTGAGGAAGGAGGGGGAGACAGAAATAAGATTGATCTCCTTTCTCTCTCTCTCTCTCTCTCTCTCTCTCTCTCTCTCTCTCTCTTTCTCCCTCCCTCCCCCCCCAAATACCCTCTGAATAGAGATGTTTTCCAATAAGCTCCTAAAAGTCTTCCCTTTATTAGCCCATCTGCAGAAAAAATGAGGGACGTCAGATTTGGCTAGCTGTGTCAGACAATGTTAAAGCTATGTTGTAGCCCCGACGGCAGCCTCATCTTGGCTGGCTGGGCAAGCAGATCCTTATATTACAATTTATAAATAGTAAATAAAATAAAATTATCGGGTGGGGCTAAGGCACTGGGGAAGAAGAGGCTAAGCAGTCCTCATTAAGGGTGCCACCATCAACCCCACCTACCGAGGACCAAAGATCACCTCCTTTCTGTTGAATGTTGACCTTAAAGCAGGCAGTTTCCATATAGCCCCCTTTCTCCCTTACCCTCCCACCCTCCCAATCTGCATCGCCTGTGCCCACATCCCCACATCTCAGCCAGCACGATTGGGTTTCATCAAGCGTATCAAGGTTTCTATGTCTGGGGCATTCAGCCCAGCAGCTCCTCTGCCAAGCGATAGAGGAGGCGCGAGTACCAGTGCATGCCAGTCGGCTGGACTGCACCACCGGGGAGCAGCGCCCCCAGCGCGTGCAGCAGGCGCAAGGGAGCAAAGGCGCGGTGAGCCCACTGGTGACTCTCCAAAACAGCGTAGCAAGAGGCCAGGACGTCGTTGACTAGCAGGGTCCCGTGAGCAGTAAGTGGGGCGAACACGCCCACAGCTTCCTCTCGCGCTACGCGGGCCACGCGCGCCGGCCGAAGAGCGTCCCCGCCAGGAGCCAGCACTGAATCCCCAGCGCGTAATCGGCGCGCGAACACCGGTGCAAAGTCGCCGGGTTCCGGAGCTGGCCCTCGAGCAGCGAACACTAGGTGCCAGGGCGTAAGCAACAGTTTGCGCGGAGGCCTCTCGGTCTCCACAGCCACAAACGAGGCCCGGCGCTGCAAATCCCGGTCCAGGAAGAGCAGCACCGGCGTGGGCACCACCCGGCCTGTGGCGTCCGCTGCCAGCACCCAGTCTCCGCCGTGCAGTTCCCGCAGCCCCTTCCGCTCGCCGCTCCGCAGGCGCACGGTGGCATTTCCCGGAAAGCAGCCGCCGGCCCGGACAGCCAGTGAGTTATCTGCAAGGGGAAAAAAAAAAAAAAAAAAAAGATAGGACTCCAGCTCCAGAACGGTGGTAGATTCTCAAAAATATGAGTCAAGCTCAATGCAGACCTCACCCAGTTCTGGATAGTACAATATTTCCCACTGATCAGTCCCTAATCTGGGCAGAAGTGGAAAGGTGGTTTACAACACTAACTCCCAGTTGGTCTCCCCTAGGGCTATTGTAGATTCATGGGGACACCTTTGGGCAGACCTTACCACCCACCCCCTACTGTACCAGCTTTGACAGACACGTGGACATGGTTGCGGGACTCGTAGTAGACCCAGTCGAAGCCGGCTTCCACTGCCAGGCGTGCCAGCAAACCATACTTATTGCGGTCGCGGTCAGAGGTGGTGATGTCCAAGGCACGGCCTTCGTAGTGGAGTGAATCCTGAGCGTGGTGGCCGTCCTCATCCCAGCCCTCAGTCACTCGTAGGCGCACTCCAGGCCACATGTTCATCACTGCAATGGCCAGCGCGTTCACCCGCTCCTTACAACGCTGTTGGAGAATAAAGGAGTCAGTCTCCCCACTACCACTATCATTACCTCTGGGGCGAAACGATTTGAATAGGAGCGTTGATTCCTTGTTCTTAGGTCCCAGTTCATTCCATACCAGTTTTTGAGTGTTCTGGGCAAGTGAGGATCTGAATAGGTGTAGTCGCCCTTCTGCACTCCCTTGCCAGGGCATCGTTGGAGAACTATGGGGTCACCTCTAAGATTAAGAGCAGGCATCCATACCTAGCTCTTCCGCTATTTTAAATGGCTGCCTTTAGCCCCTACTTGTTCCGGGACCTTGGCCCGACCTGAGTTGAGAGGGTGGGTGGAGTTTGGTTAGGGAGGGCCTGGCTACCCAAGAGGAGCCCCTGTTTGAGYCTGGCCCCTGCCCCAGGCCCTGGCTGCCCTCCCTCCGCCTGATTCATCTTTTGTTTCGTTGCCTCCCCTGGCCTTCCCTGGCACTGGGCATCGCTTCCTTCCTTCCTTCCTTCCTCCTCCTCCTTTCAGCCCCTAGCATTAACCCCTTCGTGGTCTGGGTGCCCCCCACAGAGGTGCCCAAGAGAAGCCGTGCAGGATCGAGGCTGCTGGAAAAAGGGTTGGGTGGCGGGGGCTGCACGAAGTACAATGGCCATTCTCCAGGATGACTTAACTGAACGAGAATCCCGGGCCGAGGCCGGGAACGCGCCTGGAGAAGCGGACTCAGCAGCTCCAGCCACAAAGGCGCTTTTCAGCCGCCCCAGCTCATAGAGAGGAAAGGGCAGAAAGCCGCGCCTCTCATCCCTGCTCTGGCCCTCCAGGTCCCCTCCCCCAGCGTGACCAGTCCTCCCAGTTCCAGCTAAGGCTCCGCCAGCCTCGAGAGCTTCAATCTCTCCTCAATCTCTGGACAGAGATGCTCGTGGGAGTAGCACCTGAGAATACTCAGCGCTGCCCTTGCGCGGATCTGGGGGGCCCCCTGCAGGGTGGAGTGAAGAGGAGGAAAAGGAGCAGCGGCTGGAAGTCTGCACCTGGGGGAGTGAGGCCACAGTTATCTTGGCCTCTCCTGTCTGGGAGCTGGAGACCTTGGCGCACACCATAGGACGGACACCGCGGGAGGAGCGCAGAGGACAATTTCCTTTTCTTCTTCCCTCCCAGACCCCTCACCTCAGACTTGTTTTTTTCCTAAACTGCCAGGGGGATCCACCCCCACTCTCCCATCTCTAGTCATCTCCACCTCTGCAACTGCAGGGTTGGGGGTGTGGAGGGAGAGAGAACAGGAAAAGCAGTAGCTCCTTCCAACTTCTTGTCGTTTTGTCCCCTAAGGAGGCCCTGACCTGCGGGGGCAGCAGCCCAGTGCAGAGCCAACTCAATGGAGGCCTTTTGCAGCCAGGGTGTGGGAGATAAGCAGGACTGAGGGGGTTCCCAGGCCTGTCAGAGGCCCTCCTGTGCCTGTCCCTTGTYCTGCCTCCTCTGCTGCAGGTGGCAGCCAGAGGAAAGGGCCAAAATGTTCCATGACCAAGGAGGGGAAAAAAAGAAATAGACCCTTCCCAATCTCTGGGTAGGAGGAAGGCTTTCAGTACAGGAGCAAGTAGAAATGCTTTCTCCCCTTGATAGGTTTTCCTAACAAAGTAACCTGGAAAACTATGGCAATTAATCAGAGGAAATCCGTACCCCTCCCTCTCCCCCCACCTTCTCACTTCATACACAATTAGGTGGTGTAATGGAAAGTGTATAGGACTTAAAGTCAGGAGTCCTGAATTCTAGTCCCAGCAATGCCACTAATTAATTGTGAGACTTTGATTAAACTGCTTTTTCTCCTGGGACCCAGCTCTCCCATTTAAAGTGAGGGTTGGGGGTGGGAGGTTGGAGGAATGTGATTTTCAAGTTTCCTTTGAGTTCTGATACTATATCACATGCCAGAGGTGGTCCTTCTCTTCCAAGGCATAGCCCATATCACCTAGGTCAGTTCAGTATCAGTCTATAGCAGATGCTCACTAATGGTAGTTTAATTTAATTCTTTAATTTGAAGGAAAGCTTCTGAACTAAACTGAGCTTGGGGGACCCAGCAAACATTTGATACTCAGGTGAGCCCACCTGTTATTTTCACTGAGGACTGCTTCTTACACCAAGACTGTCATCTAGACCCTAGAAAAGCCTTGTCCTGCTTCTAGGAAACCTCTCCTATGCCAAAGACATTTCCTGCCCAGCTCCTCCTCAGGTAGATGCCCTGGGACTTGATCCTTGGCCACCCTTTCCCAACCCCCTTCAGTCTCTTTGCACAGAGGGCTTTTCCACAGTCAGGTCAGGAGCCAGTCTAAGGGTAGAGCCTTCTGTCTGCTGCCCAGCCAGCTCCTGGCCCCCAGCTCACCCCAGCCCTTCCTGCCTGGCTCGGTGGCTGACCCCCGGTCCACGCCTCAGCCATTTCCCGTCTCGCCTGCCGCCATCCTCCTTTCCCCGCCCTCCCTGCCTCTCCCAGCTTCACTCTCACTAGTCAATCCCTCCTCCCCCCTTCCCATCCCAGCCTTTCCCTGTTGGGATACCTCCTAACCACTCTCCAGCCAGCCAGGTTCTTACTTTTTAAAGGGAATTTACTGGGGGAGGTCTTTTCTTTAAGACTAAGGTCTCTGTAGATGAAGGCAGCCTCACCCTCCCAGAAGTTGGGGATGCCCTGGCGCAGGTGGGGCGAGGCCCTCCTTACCTCCGTCATCAGGCGGTCAGCGCCACTGTTCTCCTCATCCTTGAAGATGATGTCGGGGTTGTAGTTGGGCACGAGGTCCCGAAAGCGCTCAGAGCCCCTCGCCACCTTTCCCTCCGCCGGCCCGCTGGCGCCCAGGGTCCGCTCTGGCACGCTGGGCACAAATTGCTTGTACAGCAGAGGCACAAGCTGCTTGCGCACGTAGCGGCGCCTGCCAACAGGTCCCCGGCCCGGCCCACAGCTCTGGGCAGGTAATGCCAAAAGTGCCAAGCAGCACAGGGGCAACAGACTGACCCGCAGTGCCATGGCTGCAGCAGGCGTGGGTCAAGAGGGAGCGTTCTTTTCTTCGCTCGCTCTCCTGTCAGTTGGGCATCTCCACAAGCATAAGAGAACACAGCAGGCAGAGCTGCCCCCAGTTTGCGCTAGAGCTCTTGTGGCTTTGCGCACCTGGCTGTCGCTGGGTCTGCCCAAAGGTCCCGGGGGGGTTGGGGTGGTCTGGAATCTGCTACTGGTGGACCACCATGGCAGGGAAGGGGGGTCGTGGGTGAGTGCCAGCCCAGCCAGTCTCTGCTGCCCAACTCCTGTGCTGCCAGAATGCCCGGACTCCGCCTTAAGTAGCCCCGCCCCCGCCCCCCCCCTGCCAGGACCGTCCCGCCCCCTCCCACCCGGGCGGGCGATCTAGTCGGTCACCACTGTTCCATTTCGTGACTGAAGTGTGTCCCATCCTGGAAACCATGCAGACACCTGCCTAGGAAATCCTTGTAGCTTTACAGTCCTTGGCTGCCTGGATAAGCATCCTTCTACCTCCAAACCTAAATTTGGAACTAAACCATTCTCCTCTGATCCTTGAATTGGTCTTTGCTCTCCTAAAGCCTACACTGGCAGGCCATGCCCTCTGCTGTCATCCAGGAAGTATGGGTTCCAATTTCTGCTCAAGGCCAGCCAAGCCCTTTGGGCATACAACCAGAGCCTCCCTTCTCTGTGGTTCTCTCCAAACCTCCCCCATTTCTCTCTTCACACTCAGCAGTAAGCAGGAATGGGAGGCAAGGATCCCAGGGCACCATTTTCCCTAGTAACTTTATAGTCTTCCAGTGGGAACGCCCCCAGAACCAGGAACAGAGTTTGGTATTTATACTTCTGTTTAGGACTTCCAACTTTGCACCTTCTAATTTCTTCTCAAATGAATAAATTGCAATTTGAAGTTGCTTATGGACAGGGGACATTTATCAAAAGTCCCGCTCTGTAAAAGACTAATATAATGATCATCCTCCTTCATCTTCTAGGTAGGCACTTCTGTAGCCTCTGGATTCTTACAGGCTCTACTTCAAGCCACTCAGATCTCATCTCAGAGGCACTTCATTCACCTACTTCTAACATTTATAAATTCCTTCCTCTGGGAAGTCTTTCATGATGTTCTAATACTGCCCACCCATGTTCCTGTAAGAGGCAGCAATTGACTGTTATGCTAGTAAACTGTTAGAATTATCTGGTATCCTTCTAGACAAAGCATTTAAGTACAAACTTGTTTGTCATGTAATTCCAAGGCTAAGTGGTTAGTAGGGTGCTCAGCAAGCATTTGTGGAATCTACACTTTTTTGTATTCCACACTCACCCTTCCCTCACCTAGCTCCATAGCTGGCACTCACACCAACTTTGTGTATGTTAGGAAAAACAAAACCCTTCCTCAAGACATTAGACTTCCAGTTATAAGGAAACGGTCATGGAAGTTGGAGTGTAGTTCAGTGGTAGAGCACCTGCCTAGCATTATGTGAGGCTGTGTGTGTGAGTGGGGGTGGGATTTGCTCCCTGGCACCAGGATAAATAGAGATGGAGAGGGAAAGAAAGTGGTGCATTTCTATAATCCTAGCTACTTGGGAGACTGAGGCAGAAGGATCACAAGTTTGGGGTCAGCCTGGGTAACTTAGTGACACCCCATCTCAAAATAAAAAAAATTAAATACATGGGGATATAATTCAGTAGTATAGTGCTTCTGAGTTCAATGGGGGGGGGGAGTTACAACTATATATTGACTATGAAGTGAACAAATATACATTGACTATGAAGTGAACAGTTGTCCCMTAAGTTATACAGTGAAAAATCTAAGCAGAAATTTTGTCCCTAATTCCCAACATAGCAAGGAGATTTCAAGGAAATGAAAGCCTCTACAAAGATCGAAGTTAGGTTCTTTTCTGAAGTAGGAATCAAAACCCTGTGGAGAGCTGGGGTTGTGGCTTAGTGGTAGAGCACTTGACTTGCCCAGCATGAGTGAGACACTGGGTTCGATCCTCAGAACCACATAAAAAATAAATTACATATATATATATATATATATATATATATATATATATATATAAAAATAAAGTTAAAAAGCAAAACACAAAAAACCCTGTCAGTGTGGGGTTGGGGTTGTAGCTGAGTGATGGAATGCTTGCCTAGCACCTATGAAACACTGGGTTTGATCCTCAGCACATAAAATAAAACAAGTTTTAAAAAGTGACCTGTCAGTCACTTTTCTTTGAGGGGAGGGATACTAAGGATTTAACCCAGGAGCAATTTACCACTGAGCTATATCCCAGCCCTTTTTATTTATTTTTTTTAAACTTTCTTTATTTTATGTGGTGCTGGGGATTGAACCCAGTACCTCAAACGTGCTAGGCAAGTGCTCTTCCACTGAGCCACAATCTCAGCTCCCCTTTTCATTTTTTTGAGACAGGATCTAAGTTGCTTAGGGCCTCAATAAGTTCCTGAGATTGGCTTTGAATTTGCAATCCTTCTGTCTCAGCTTCCCAAACATACTGAAATTACAGGCATGTGCCACAGCTCTCATTAGCAGTCACTTCTTTTAGTCTATACCAATTGTCACATCAGGGAGGACAGGGCTGAAGGTTGAGTATATATGGGGAGGTTATCTTATTCCTGTGCTCATGCCCTACAACCCCCAATTCCAAAGGTACAGAAACAAGGTCATGAGTATAAGAAAGAGCAGGGGACTAGCCTTTTTTTGGGGGGGGGGGCAGTTAGGAGAGACTGGGGATTGAAYTCAGGGTGACTTAACCACTGAGCCACATCCCCAGCCCTATTTTGTATTTTATTTAGAGACAAGGTCTCACTGAGTTGCTCAGTGCCTTGCCATTGCTGAGGCTGGCTTTGAACTCTTTGATCTTCCTGCTTCAGCCTCCCAAGCCACTGGGATTACAGGCATCTGCCATGGCACCCTGCGGGACCAGCCAGTTTTAAGCAAGGCAAAAGGAAGAGGAGCTTCCTACTGCTCAACTATAGGGCCTAATACTAGATCTATGTACCAAAATAACACTGAGAATGCAGATAGAAGGGAAGGAAAAGATGGCAAGATGGCGGCAAGATCCCTTTGTTTCTCAGATGGTAGACTCAGGACTGGTGGGAGCAAGGCTGTTCAAATAGTCACAGAGACAGGGTCTTTAAAAAAACCAAAGCAAACCCTGGGATCAACTTTATTGCTGATGGGTGCAGCCTCTTTCACCCTATGCCCCCATTTTCTCCAGTGGTCCAAAGCCCCTCTAGGATAGCACAGTGCTAAGGCTTGCTGGGACAGAGGCAAGGGAGACAACCTGCCTCTCAAGCCTGCCCCTTGCCCAGTCCCTCCCACCCCCTCCCTACCCTATTGCACATCAAATCATGTAAACATGACTACAGGCATGGCCCTGAACAACAGTGAGGCAGATTGATGTGTAAACGGATTTGGGACCAGGAGCCAGATCCAGTCAACCAGCCCCACCCTATGCTGAGGCCACAGTTAAGTCTGGAAAAGCAGGGGCCTGGTCCCAAACTCTGGCTCAGATTATGCAACAGTGCAGATGGCTCAGCTCCCCTCTACCACCCACCCTTTCAGATTCCAGGTCCTGAGGTCCAACCACCCTTGGGCTCCCCTCCAGGCCTAGGAAGCAGATGGCAGTGTCCAGTTTTCTCCCTCCCATCCCCAGCTGGAGGTCACTGGTGCTGGGTCTTCCTGGATGTCCGGGGAAAACCGGAGACAGGCAGCGGTAGTCTATCCAGCCCTGGAGAAGTGGGGGAGGTACACAATCAGAAGGACAGCTTAGTTCTAGTCCCTCAAGGATAAAACAACCAGGGTACAAAATGGGTGGATGAGATATGTTACATAGAAAACAAGAAGCAAGCCCTCCCCCAGCAGGAATGACTCCTGGTATAGAGCCCTATCATATAACAACCCTACCAGCCTGCACCTCCCACGCCTTCTCACCAAAGGCCCGGATCAGCTCTGCCCGCACAGCTGCGGTGAAGGTCTTCACCAGACAGAGTGTGGTGAGGCCAGCAAAGGCTGCATTGTAGAGGAACACGATGTAGAAATTACCCAGCCAGTTRAAGCGTCCAAAGTCACCCAACAGGTCAAAGCGAGTGAGCCCTGAAGTACAAAGGCCAGGATGAGAAGGGGGTTTTTCAGTCCCTCTCCTGTAGCAAACCCAACTTTTTGTTGCCTCCTGGTGGCCATATCTCAACACTGCAACTGATAGTTTGGCCTCTCCTATGCATGTATTACTACCACCTCTCAAACTCTGTTCCAAGGCCAGTCCAAGGTTGTTGCTCTAGTTTTCCTTCCAGAGTCTGGCTTATTTTCTCCAATGGGGTCTCTCTGGCTTCAGGTGTCCTTAGGAGCTCCCAGGTCTGCAACTTGTTCCTAGGCTAAGAATCTACCAGCTGGTCACCAAGTTTTCTTGAGTACACAGAGCAGTGGGGTAGTTAAAGGCTTAGATTATGATCAGTCTGCTTTGGTTCACAGCCCAACAACTTCTGTGTGCTCTAGGACAAGCTCCTTAAACTCTGTGCCTCATTCTACTCAACTGCAAAACAGAGGAAAGAATGCAATTGTTAAGAATTAAACAAGGGGCTGGGGATGTGGCTCAAGCGGTAGCGCGCTCGCCTGGCATGCGTGCGGCCTGGGTTCGATCCTCAGCACCACGTACAAACAAGAGATGTTGTGTCCGCCGAAAAAAACTAAAATAAATAAATAAACTCTCTCTCT